CCTGCCTCCCGCCATGGGCATGGGCTTGGTGCCGCCGCTGCAGCAGCCGAGGCTGGTGCTGGGTACAGGGTGCTATCCCCATTAGGCCCCGCTCCCCCCCCCCGGTGCTTTGGTGGCAGGGCTGATGAGCAGGCTGGTGGTGTCCTGGGCTGGGTGCTCCCGCTGCTCCTGCCTCCGCCAGGCTGCCAAGCTGGGGTTGGGGGGAAGGCAGCGCTGAGCCCTTCAGAGGGCTGCAGCTCTGCCCATCTGCCTTAGGAGGGCACCTGGCTGCCCTGATGGGGGGGAATCCGGCCGTCTCCCGTCTCCCCTGCCCCCAGGGCTCCATGCCTCCCTGCCCTGGCTGCATTGGAGAAGCCATCCAGCCCTGGCCCTGCAGGGGTCTCAAGGGCTACCATCTGCACTACCGTCGTTGTCTTCTTGGGGGGATGTGGGGTCCTCGGCTGCACATCCTAGCAGTGCGCAGCAAGGTTTGGGTGCTGGAGAAGCTGCTCCCGGCTCTGTGGGGATGTCGAGGGCTGCTCCAGCGTTGGAAAGGGCTGGCGTGTGTCTTGCTCTTGTCCTCACCTGGGGGGACGTGGGGTTCCCCCTTCACGTCCTAGTAGCATGCAGTGAGCTATGTTTAGCACGAGGTGACCACAGACCTGTTTGCAATAGGACCAGCCCATCCCCTCCCTTGCTGCTGGGACTCATCTCTGCAATTTGGAGATGGGCTTTGCTTGACATGGCAGAGCCTGATCGATTCAGCACAGGGTCACCTGGCGTTGGCCGAGGCAGCTGGAGCCTGTCCCCTGGGTTCTGGTTTCCAGTCTCTGTCCACACAGCGTGGACAGAAAACATCTCCCTCCCTTGCCGGGATCAGTGGCCCAGGCTGGTGGATAAGTCCCTGGTGCATCCAGGCCAAGGGAGTGAATCCCAGCAGATGATTCGGAGCCTGTCGGTTGCTGCTGCGTTCTGATTTATTTGGGATGCAGTCCAATTCGTCGCAGGGAGTGCATTTAATGTGCACCATCAAGCCTGGTGCATCTTCTCCCTCCCTTCATTTTGTGAACTTAATATGGGCAACAGGAGCTGGACCCCTGGCTCTGGAGAGTCTGTCTCTTTGTTCGCAGAGCTGCTGCTCTAGGGACAGGCTTCATCACACTGCTTGCTGCTATGCCTCAGCTCTGATCGGCGTGAAAGGGGAATTCAGCCTCTGTGGCCCATTCACTCAGCCCTTGGCCCCTCTCCTAAGCCAGTTAGTAATGGGGCTGTTGCTTGTGGCTTGTCTGGTGCGGT